GGTAAAGGGTCACGCGTATAGAGGTATAATAAATATAATAATAATGGCACACTCATATACCAATAATGAACTCGTTGATATGTTGTTAATTTATTAATGAACGTCTTCAAAATGATACAGAATCGTCGCGAGTGTATGCAGATCTTTTCCCTAGACGACATCATCCAAGGCCCCGCAGATTTGTGTACCCGGTCCAGAGAGTCAGGGATACGGGCCATTTGGAGGAATATCGAGGTGGGCACAGTGGGAGGTCTAGACAACCACGAATGGTGCTAGTTGAGGAAGAACTACTGAATCGCGTAGACGAGAATCCCTCAACAAGCACTAGAGACGTGGCTAGAGAAGTGCGAGTATCACAAACTAGAGTGTGGCAAACGTCCAACCTGACGATTTTCCAGCAAGAGTGCGGTTTTGTGAGTGGTTGTTGCATCAACATGACAATAATCCGGACTTTTTGAAGTGCATATTGGTGACAGACGAATCTACGTTCACACGTAATGGGGTCAACTGGAGAGTGAGTACTTTTTCCTTTATTATTTTTTTTACATGGTCGGCCCTCGTTTCACTACGCATTACCTTTGTTATTTCAAGGGTAGTTGTTTCTGAAAAGGAAAAGCCCAACTTTGCGGACACCCTGTATTAACCTTCGGAAATCGTGGATACCCTTATGTTGACTGATTTCGCTGTTGAACAATAAAAACAATGACACTCCGTTAATACTATTAACTGTTAGAACAAGTTACCATACACCGATCCGCGGGGAAAGGAATAAACGATAAGTAATCAATTTTGGGCAGTTAACATCAATTAAACTCAGAATACCAAAATAAAAAGGATTTTCCGTTGGCAATATATTCGGTCTGCTGTTACTTATGGGCTATAAATGTATAAAAAAAATTGTGTTACTTAATTTTGTTATTTTACAAAACGGTCTTCGTCTTCTTCTTCTTCTTCTGCTACGGTCTTCACACACACACACACACCCTCCTACCCTGTGCGGTCCCTCCACCACCCCTGTTCCAGGCAACCTCAAACCCTTGAGGAGTGGGGGGAAGAGCAATCAGCTCCTCCCCCCACTCCCGCCCAAAGGCCTGGAGTGGCGCTGCGTGGTTCAGGCCGCTTGCGCATTCCCCGAGTGTGTGCTGCCGAACGAGCTATCCCCCCTTCCCCAATTTTGCCCCTTTTTCCCGAAATTTGACTCGATCGCGCACGCGTCGCGGAAGCGCGTGGTGGACGTTTCTTCCAACTGTCGGTTCTCGACTTTATGGCCGGCCTCTTTTCTTGGGGGTCCTGCGCTGGGGGCTTTCGACCTAAGCCCCTCCTAAAGGTTGGTGAGCCTTCGCTCTTTCCTCGTCGACTGGAGTCAGTCAGTCGTCGTCAGTCAGTCATATTTGTAAGTCATTCGTCTCCTGAGGTTAGCCCCGAGTCCGTGCTTGACTCTGGCCACCTCAATCGACAGGCTTCTTTTGTCACCCGTTGTACACGGGCTGTTCTTTCCCCTCTTGGTGTACAACTATTGTCGGTCTTCTCCCCTTTCTTGGCCTGATCAGATGCTAGGGCCAAATATTTTCTTGTGTGCAGCTGTCGTTCGGTCTTTATGACGCCTTATTGTTCTTGGGTCGTAATCCAAGGCGGCTTCAATCAGCACATTCTTTCAAAGAACTTTCTGGCCCTCCTCCTCTCATCTGGATTACGACCGGTACCCTTCCTGCTAGTTCGTCATATAGCACTCTGCTAGGTACATACCACGGTTGCGTCCACCGCTTCACGGAGTGCCATTTTTTGTTGAGCTTGGAGCCCTCGGATCATCGTTTTGGAAAGTAGCCCCAAGCTACTGCTGCGTAAGTCATGATTTGTAGCAGCACATCTGAATCATGATGGTCTTATTCTTTAGTGACAATTTGCTTCTTCTGCCCGTAAGGGTCTTAGTTTGGAGCGTGCCATCTTCCACTTTCTGCACCCGGTCTTCGACATGGTTCTTCCAAGTGAGTTTCTGCGTCCATCTTGACTCAAGGTATGTGCTGGAGTCTTTCCAGTCGACCTCAACCTCTTCATCTCTTCTCCAGCCTCTCTCCATTCTGGTGGTCGTCATCTTTATTTTGGTCTGAGGTAATCTTCGATTTCTTCGGAACAGTACCGCTTCGGTCTTCTCGGGGTTGAGGCGGATCTTCCACTTGATGCACCATTCCTCTAGGTTGGTGGTCGCTCGTTGCAGATATTCCGTAACCATGCGGGGTCTCGTACTTTCTGCCGCATATGCTGTATCGTCCGCATACACATACAGTTGCGTTTGAGGAGTCTTCGGGATGTCTGAGCTGTAGATTGGATACAGCAGGGGTGGTAGAACCGCTCCTGCGGTACTCCTGCCTCCACAGTCCTCGTCGTCGAGGTTGTTTTAACCGATCCTAATTCGGAAATTTCGGTGCTTCAAGTAGGACTTCACCAGTTGGATCATCCCCTTTGAGTATCCGTGGTCTACCATCTTGTAGATCAGTCCGTCATGCCAAACAGTGTCGAACGCCTTTGCGGCATCCATGAACACAGCTCCCACGGCCCGCCGAGTCTGGAACGATTTCGTTGCCATCTCGACCAGCCTTAGGACCTGGTGCTCTGCTGAATGCCCGCATCGGAATCCGAACTGTTCGTCTGGAACTACTCGGAGTTCTTCGGTTTCGTTCTTCAGTCTTCGTTCGATTACCCTTTCCGCAATCTTGCTCAGTGCCGTCAACAGGCTTATGGTCTGTAGTTTTGGGGGAACCTTGGGTCTTTCCCAGGTTTAGGAATGTTGATCACCTCGCTACTTTCCAGTGATCTGGAAAGTACCGGTGTCTCAGTATGGCGTTGACGATGTTGGTAATTGCCATTATCGCTTTCCTCGGGAGTCCTCTTCAGGACTCTGTTCCCAATATCGTCTACACCCGGTGCCTTCTTCACCTTGAGTCTTTCGATGATTTCCCTTACCTCGCCTGGAGAGGGCATGTCTTCGATGGCTCTTCCTCCTCTGACAGCTCTCCTCGATCTTCTCATCACCTCGTCGATGAAGTCTTCGTCTTCATCGGGGTGAGTATTGAGAGTACACTGTCTCTGAAGGTTGTCAGCAAAAGCTTCCGCCTTCTCTTCGGTTGTGTACACCATCCCCTGTTCGCTGTGTATTGGGGGGATGGGCTGTCTTCTATTTCTGAGGATTTTAGCCAAGTTCCACATTTCCTGGGTCAGCTGGGATAGTTCGTCGAGTTTCTTATCCCAGGTGCTCTGATGGTGCTGCTTCAAGGCGTCTCGTGCCTGTCTCATAAGTCTGTTTGCCACCATGATGTCAGTGGGGCTTCTGGTCTCCTGGGCTACTCTTCGGGCTCTGTTTCTTTCGGTGATCTTGCGATTTACCCTCGTCAGGTAGGTCCTGAACCTGTTTGGGTTGCGTTATGTCTTCACGGTGGTTGCGGCTTCTAACGCAGCCTTAATCTTCCTTTCTAGGTCCGTGACCGCTTCTTCTATGCTTTCGGGGCTTTCGATCTGTAGTAGTGGTCCTTGTGATAGTGCAGTCTGGTTCTAAACCGCTGCCAATTCACTCTCTTCACTGTTCTTTGTCCACAGGTGTTATCCCATCTCCCGTACAGAGAAAGATGGGGTTGTGGTCTGAGCTTCCCTCTTGCATGGCGCCGATGGTGGTGCGCATGTCGATTTCCTTCAGAATCGCCATATCTATGACGTCTGGTCTACCTCCGTTGCTGGGGTATATTGTAGGTTCGTCCGGACCTATCATGGTATATCCAGGTTCATCCATTAGTCTTTCCAGAACAGCGCCGTGACTGTTTCTGTTTCTTGAGCCCCAAATGGTGGACTTCGCGTTTAGATCACCTACGATCACGGTACTGTTTCCCAGTGCAGTGATACAGGTGACATCTTCCAGATATTACGGACTTCTTCTATACATATATATATATATATATATATATATATATATATATATATATATATATATATATATATATATATATATAGAGAGAGAGAGAGAGAGAGAGAGGAGAGAGAGAGAGGAGAGAGAGATAGATGAAAAGATTAACAATAACGACCACAGCTAATTATCATTTTGCATTTTATCATAACATAGTGGTTCTGAAAGAACCGTTTTTTTTTTGTTCTTATTTTTCGAACCGTATAAACCGTCGAAGCGAATACAACGTCTATATTATTTGAACTGGTGTACTTGGTGACGGCTTTGGTACCTTCGCTGACTGCGTGCTTGGCCAATTCTCCCGGTAGCAATAGTCGTACGGCTGTCTGAATTTCTCTGCTAGTTATCGTGGCACGTTTGTTGTAATGTGCCAATCTGGAAGCTTCCGCAGCGATACGTTCGAAAATATCGTTGACGAAGCTGTTCATGATGCTCATCGCTTTGCTGGATATACCCGTATCGGGATGTACCTGCTTCAGTACTTTGTAGATGTAAATTGCGTAACTTTCCTTCCTCCTGCGCTTCTTTTTCTTGTCAGATTTTGAGATATTCTTCTGCGCCTTGCCCGCTTTTTTGGCAGCCTTACCGCTAGTTTTGGGTGGCATTTTATTGTGAGATGATGCTGAGTATAATCGACACCAACGCTCGACTAACGGAACGACTTTTTTTTTTTTTTTTTTTTTTTTTTTTTTTTTTTTTTTTTTAACGAGGGGGGAATGCATTTACGCACCATACCATAGCACGAGCTACGACGTGTGTGGGGCTCCAGGGTCTTGAAGAGATCACCTAATACCCACTAAACCCTAAACCTCCGCGTGGCCCGACTCATCAGCGTCTCGGTAGGCCATGTGTTGTGCGTGACCTGCGGTCTGCTACAACGTCTCCTCATGTGTTTCAGTCTCTGGGAACGCCGGGTTGGTTCCCTTTACCTCGCACATTCTATCGATGTCGTTAAGCGATCATCTATAGAGGGTCTGCTAGTTTCTCTTGAAACTCTTGTTTTCGAAAATCAAGAGTTTCAAGTCATCTTACCAATATGTTGTTCCTGGTCCTGGTCCTGAAGGGTCCTGGTCCTGGTGGGTCCTGGTCGTGGCGGGTCCTGGTTGGTCCTGGTCCCGGTGGTTCCTGGTCCTCTGCATCCACGCCGTGGGGGGGGGGGGGGAGCAGCCGCAAATTCTCCTAGTCTCCTAGTCAAGGTTCCAGTTAGCGGGTGCCAACTGGGACCTTGGTCTGGGGTACCTGGTTCTGCGGTTGCGAGGCCTCTCGTCCGGATCGTAGTCCATGAGGAATCGTAGCTGCTCGTTCGGGTGGTCCTGAGCTTTCTCGAAGGTCTTCTCCGCTTTTTTCCTCATGTACTCGTGGATGGTATCCCAATGCAGGTCTCTACGCAAGGTTGAGTTCCTTACGTAGGAAGGTGCATTGGTGGCGATCCGGAGTAGCTTCATCTCTAGAGCAGCAAGTCGCTTGCGGTAGCTGGGGGCAGCGTACCCCCAGACCGCGGAGGCGTAAGCGAGCTGAGGTCTGGCGATGGCCTTGATCAGCCGTAGCTTGGTCGCTAGCGGCATCTGGCTGTGTCTACCCAGTAATGGATAGAGTTGAGCCATGGCTGCTCTGGTTTTTGCGATGACAGCTTCTATGTGCGCTTTCCAGGTGAGGGACTTGTCAAAAACGATCCCCAGATATTTGACATTGTCGCTCCACTGGATATCTTCATCGAAGATGGATGCTTCGAGAGGTCTTGCAATCCTTCTTCGTTGAATGAAGATTGCCTGCGTCTTCTGGACGTTGATGCGGATTTTCCATTTCACGCACCAGTCCTGAATTTGGTCCAGTTCACCCTGTAGTCTCCTACGGATGATCTCGGGTCGTCTATGCTTGGCGGCTATAGCAGTGTCGTCTGCATATAGGGCCAGCATTGTGTCAGCTGTCTTCGGCACATCGTAAGTATAGATGTTGTAGAGCAGGGGGGCTAAGGCTGACCCCTGGGGCACGCCTGCTTCCAGCTGACGTCTTGTTGAATGGCATGTACCAATCTTCACCGTGAACCATCTTTGTGTTAGATAGCTCTGGATCAGTTGGCACATGTTCGCATCGATTCCGGCGGCTTCCATTTTGGCGATGAGTCCATCGTGCCAAACTCGGTCGAAGGCTCGTTCCACGTCCAGCAGGACGAGACCGGTTGCCTCCTGGAGATTGAAGCCGCTGGTGATGTTTTCCGTCAGTCGTAGCGCTTGGAGTTCCGTGTTGTGGGAGGATCTGAAGCCGAATTGCTCTGGGGGGAGAAGTTGCAGTTCTTCTGCCTGCTTCTCTAGTCGAACGGCGATAGCCTTTTCGACTACTTTGCCCACCGAGGAAACCAGGCTGATGGGCCGGTAGTTCTGGGGCAACTTCCGGTCCTTGCCTGGCTTGGTGAGCATTATAACCTGGGCTTCCCGCCACCGCCGCGGGAAGTGGTTAAGTCTCAGAGTGGCATTGGCGATGTTGGTGAGCGCAGCAATGCCTTTGGTGGGAAGGTTCTTCAGCATCCTATTGTTGATGCCGTCCCTTCCCGGCGCCTTTCTGACCTTCAACCTGCGGATGATCAGACGGATTTCCTCTGGACTGGAGGGGTGATCCGTCTCCTGGCCAGGTGGTCGACTCCTCATGTTTTCGGCTGCGACTTCCACGGCCTCCTCGTGGTTGTCGTCCTCGTCTTCATGGTAATTGAGTCTGCATTCGGATTCTAGCGAATCGGCGAATGCTTCGGCTTTTTCTTCACTGGAGTAGGCCAAGCCGCGTTGGCCGTGAAGAGTGGGGATCGTGGTGCGCTGACGACGAAATTTTCGCTGCATAGACCAGGCCGTACCATCCTGGGTCTCTAGTTCTGCACAGGCTGCATTCCATCTGTTGTTTTGGAGTTCCGCGAGTGCGTTCTTCAGAGCTAACGATGCTCTGTTTCGCGCAACTCTCGACTCCTCTGTCAACAGCTGGAGATGTTCTCGCTTGAGTCTTCTGTTCTCCCTGATCAGGTGCCTAATATGGTGCGGTGCTGGACCATTTAGGTATCTAGGAACTGCCGTAGTCTCGGAGCGGGTGCTGTCCTCGTGCGCTCGCAGGACAGCATTCTCCAGCTCCTCTACTGCGTTGTCCAGTTCCTCCGCTGATCGGATGGTTGGAATTTGAGTGATGTTCCTCTGGACGTTGGATTTGTAAAGGTTCCAGTTCGTCCGTTTGGTGCTCAAGCTATCTCGAGTTCTAGACCCTGTACCAAGTGTTAGTAGAATCGGATTGTGGTCCGACGATCCTTCCACCAGGGTCTCTATCTCGAACTCCTCTCTGATGTTGCGGAGGATGGCTATGTCCAGTACCGCAGGTCGCCCAAGGCCGAATGGAATGTAGGTTGGTTGCTCCGGACCGACGATGACCCCCGCCAGGGCATCGACGTGTTCCTGGAGCTGCCTTGCATTCCTGTCTTCGACGTTGTTGTTCCAAGCCGGAGACTTGCAGTTTAGATCTCCGATGACTATGCGTGCTCCTGGGCCTCTCAGGAGGTCCGCGATGTCATCTTCGTCTAGGGCCTCCCCTGGTGGCACATATAGGGAGGTGATTCTGTAGGGACGGTGGTTGTGATGGACCTGGACCGTGATTCCGTCCCCATTTATGTCTGCGGCATCGTCGAGGACATGACTCGTCAAGGTACGTTTGACGAGTAATGCGACTCCTCCACCTCTGCCCCTTCTGTCGTAGCGGTACGTCTCGTACCGCGGGAACGTCAGACTATGGGCAGCATCCAACTTCGTTTCTTGGATGGCCATCACCTCTGGTTGGTACTGGTCTAGTATCTCCTGGATTTCTGGTTTCCGTGCCCTGAAACCGTTGATGTTCCAGGAGATAATGCGTAGAGATTCTACGTTTTGACCTGTAGACATTTCGGGTCTAGTGCTTGTCTTGCATCTTGGCCTCGAGTGCATCCAGGCGGGTTATGATGGCTTGCATCATTGCTAGCAGTCTGTCATCGCCGTGTTGCTTCTGCGCAGTAGTTCCAGTAGCAGTGGCGGCTGCTGGGGCAGAAGTGGACATAGGCTTCTTCACTTTTTGGGCGTAAGAAGTCCTATTTGTGGTGGGGACTGCTTTGGGGGCAGAAGCAGCTTTCTTCGGCGCCTTACTACATCCCTTGTAGTTGGCGGGGTGGCCTTCTCCACAGAGGCAACACTTGGCGTTTCGTTGCCCTGTTGGCGGCGCTGGCAGACTGCAGCTGGTGCTGTTGTGGTCCTCTCCACATTTAACGCACCGTTCAGCGAGACGGCAGTTCCGCTGTGTGTGCCCGTACCGCTGGCAGCGGTAGCACTGGCTGGGCTCGGAAGACTTTTTCTTCCTCTCGAAGCTGACCGTGAGCATGGCCAGCCTCTGGATCTCTGCAAGCTTTTCCGGCATCTTCGTCTTGACGAGGAAGAGCGGAAGTGGCTTCTTTGTGGTCCTTGAGGTCAGCTGCTGAACCACGGCGTCTGCGATGCCTTGGCTCACCAGATCCTCTTTGATGTCATTGACTGACATCTCTCTCGGAAGCCCACGAATGACCCTCTGGTCCATCCTGTCCTCCTTCAGTTGATATGTGAAGAAGGGCCGCTTGATGGATTCAAGCAGTGCGACTAGCTGACGGTAGTCAGCTGGTGTATTTGTGAATACCTTCACACTGGTACCCGCCGTCCTCGCTTTGGAGAATTGAATCCCCTTGCTGTTCATCATCCTACTCAAGGATGACCAATCAGCGGTGCCCTCGATGTTGATTGGCGGAACTCCTGTTCCTGCCATGGGGGCCTCGGTGGTCCTGGTTGCTCTAGGACCACTCTTCTTTGTGGCAGCTGGCATCTTTCGCTGCCTGGGTTCTTCTTCTTCTTCTTCGGAGGAAACTCGCACCCGCTTCCTCCGTCTGGTGGCGACACTGAAGTCGGTGTCGTCCGTCCTCTTCTCCGCTTCTTCTACGTCGATATCTTGGGCATCCATGTCCAAGTTCTCCGTAGGCTGCTGGTCCTCCTCTCCCTGGTCCTCTCCTTCTACATCTTCCTCCGTCTTCTTAGCTTTTCTCTTTGCTTTGAGGAGCTTCCTTTTCACCTCATCGATATCATTCCTCGCCTTCTCGAATGCGGCTTGCAGATTTTTCATCTGCTCAGCGAGCATTTCGAAGTTCTCCTCTTTCTCCTTAAGCTGGCTCGCCAGCTTTTCGATTCTCGCCATCGTGGATGGCGATCGTACCGCGATGAAAATCACAGTAGGATCGCACTGTATGTCCGGGTGGGTCGCAGTCGCACGAGTGTATGCTCGTGACGGCTGCTAGCTCGGAACTCAACGGAACGACTGCAATTCTCTGGCCGTATTTAAGACAGGTGACGTTACGACCGTAGACTCCGCCCCCAGGCGTTTGCCGGCAAACGTTCGCGTCGATTGGTCGGTTAGTTCATATAAATACAACGTTCGCGGAGATCATGTTGTGCATTTGCAAGTTCATAGTCGACGTCGTTCGTTTAGCAGATTAACAAATTGAATATGTCAGGACGCGGAAAAGGCGGTAAAGTTAAGGGAAAGGCAAAGTCCCGATCCAGCAGGGCCGGCCTACAATTTCCCGTCGGTCGTATCCACAGGTTATTGCGAAAAGGGAATTATGCTGAACGCGTCGGTGCCGGAGCTCCCGTATATCTAGCGGCCGTTATGGAATACTTGGCCGCTGAAGTTTTGGAATTGGCAG